GAGGAGGGAGAAGGGAAAGCTTACGCAAGGTAGGGAGGTTCCGGCACTTGCCGGGGGACCAATCTGGTTGATAGATATTCCACTATATACAACGTTACAAACACCATTCACCGAAAATGAAGCACGGTCTTGTGCTCCATACACGCCTCCCTACGATATGCTCTTCAAAAATGCATGTCTTGCCTGTTTAGTGCTCCGGTAGTCGTCTGCATGAACTCCCGGGAGTAGTGAAAACCCTTTTTCGAGTACTAACGGAGAGGTTCTCTCTCCTTCATTTTCACCTATTAACAGCTCTACTTTAGGCCTCGTTCTAATTTGTTTTACATATATCCCGCTGGTAACAAGTTTAAAGCTATCCACCAACTGCCAACTACGTGCTCCTGTTTGGAACAATATTGACTTTTTAAGTGTTAATAAAGATTGATACCATTTGGATTCCATGGTATTTCGTCCGCTTGTTAGAAGAGAAATAAAATGCCTAGATTTTGTTGGAAGAAATGTTCAGGATATCTCGTGGGAGACTCGTTGACATGGGTTGATCTTTTGGTGTCTGACATAGCCACATGGTCCAAGAAGTATCCGACGCTCTATGATGGTTTTCCCGAGGTAGGTTTTAGCTTTATAGAATTTTCTATGCCATCAGTAGGCTTAACTATTTGTAAAATCAGTGGAGAAGGCGAAGCTCTTGTTTTCTTATGTACCTTGTCAGTGTTGTGCTTTTCAGATGAAAGCTCACGCTGAGAAAATCCGTTCGATTCCGGCATTGAAGAAATGGATCTCATCTCGCCCAGACACCTACTTCTAAGTGATAACCGAGACATCACTGATCAATAAATCATACCAAATATCCAAGAACAACAAAGTCAGATGTTAACGTCTTCAACGGCATGGGTGTCGCTAGTTAGCTGGTCACTGATCGCGGAGTTGCTGTGTCTTATTCATTTAGCTTTTATTCTCTCTCATATTACCTCACATACCTGAAATCACAAATTACTGCTGAAGATTCGCTAAGATTTCGTTACTGTAATTCAGAGCGACCTGTAGCCAATTATACGTACAGGAGGGGGGGGGAGGCAAAAAATAGTCCCTTCTGCCCACATTTAAGACGACAGTGAACGCATTTGGCTAAATTCAAACCGAACGGTCTTGCCTGGAAATTGGAGCGCACATTCCAGTCTATCAAGAAACTCCTAATACCCTCCTACACCGACGATATTAAAAGATTTTTTACGGGAGCATCAAACTGATTAAAGAAATCGTGTAGCAGCCCTTAGGTTGGAGCGATTACGTAGGGCTCCTTGAGGCTCGACGGTGATGGCAGATGACGTCATATTCTGTGACCTTAGGGGCAGTGAAGAAGGGCTTGCCTTTGTTTATTGGGGGAGGGGACATCTGACATCTTTCGCCGTAAAACACGACACGGTGCGACGGAAAATTTGATGATGTGTTTCTAGGGAGACTCCCCTCCCCTGTATAGTCTACATATATTATCATGTGATCAACCAAACAACAGTTTCTCGGACCCGGAGGCTAGGTTCTCGCCAAATCATACCGCCTGTTATCACAAAGTCATTTTTTCAATAAAAATCTTTTGAAGTTTCTGAAACGACGCTTTTGTAGCTTTCTTGTTTCAAACACTAAATTGCTCAATACCAGTTCACTGCGTGAGCGGAGGGATGTAAGGCAGGTGGCCTGTGGGTCAAGTCTTCGATCTAACCTTGTCCAAACCTTCAACCTTTTGGGGGCCGACCAATTGGTTCAAGATTTACCTGAGCTACTGATTCCATGGTTTTGACTTTGCCCATGTTGGTGAAAGCCTGACCTACTACGAAGTTCTGCTGTTCCCCCTCTACCAGTCTCCTTCCACTATCTCACAGCCTCTGGGAGTTCACAAAGTTTTGCGACGTCTGGTGGTAAGCATAGCCTAGCTGAGGGCCAATGAGCCGAACCTATCTGACGCAATTTCTACTAGTGACTCCTCCGGTAATTAATTCAAAATCATAAGGCAGACGGTGAGATGACATAGCGCTCCACATGCACCTGGTTAGGATGGATGAAAAAAGCTCAGGATGCCGTGACACTACCACTACGGCGATAATATATGACTTAATCTATGGTGGATTTGGTTACGAGGCCGACACACTGGTCTAGGCATCAGCAAAGACTGCAATTCACATGGACTACATTGCAAGCATTCAAATATCTTTGCTTATCCGACGTCTCTTCACTGTTGCGTCCAACCTTTTCATCGTTGCTGGAAAACTACGTAAATGGTGCATGCTAAAATGTTCCTTTTATTTGGATAGAGATCGCGGCATCATATCCAAACAGCACAGAGAGACATCTTTCATCTTTCAGGAGCTGCCAGTTTTGCAGTTTAACCCTTCCGATCTGCTCACAAAAAGAAGCGATCATGTCCCCAATAATGTTAACATAATACCTTTACTGAACGACCAAACTACATAGTCATACGACGCTCACGAAGTAAGAAGACTCCGATTTTTTTGAATACAAATCTGCAGAACGCTGAGTGCTTGACCACCAACGTTTAAGCTCCAAGAATTTGAGCCAAAAAAGCGTCAAATGACTCAAATTTCAGAAGCTCTACAGGGTGGTCCAAAATTATGAGGACCGCGTGCGCGCGCAGTCATATCCACTTTTTTCCGTATCGCTCCATTTTCATCTCGTTTTCTGTGCACTGTGTGAAAGGGTACAATGTCTTCTTCCTAATGAAACCAAATTTCATGAAGTTCTCATTACTAGCGGTGGTGGTGTCCGTTCCTCCAAGGGGTGCCACTGGAAACTGCTCACTTTTGTGAGCTGAGCCGACCACGGACATTCGAATGCAGGCGACAGGCCCCCGTGACAGGCCGGCCTACGAACACCCACGTCACATCACAAATGTCAATGTCGCTATATGAAATAACTACTTCACTTTGAGTCAGTCCTCAAATTGAACTCACTAGGGGCTCTGGCACGTTACATCTAGCAGCAGTCTAACCTATCAGAGAAGCCCTTATGAGCAACAGTTCAACTCTTCAATAAGTTTGGAACCACCACAGATGGAAAATTCGGGGACTCGAAAGTTACAGTTACCACCAGGATAATTATCAGATGCAGAAACTAGGTCTCCCCTTGTCGACTTTCGTACCCAAAATGAAAAAATTGATGTGAAAACCCAGCCAGACACTCTAAAGACTCCACATCTGTAGTGGATAGAAAGCCACACGAGTAGTCTACTTAGAACTTCTTACAGGACCGAGCACCCAAGAATAAAGCAAAAATCCTCCAAAAAGCGATTTTTCGAGTTCGTTGCTTTCGAAGAATTGTTACAATGGAACCATCCACCTAATAGCTCTAGATTTCTGTATTTCACACCCTGGATGCAAGCGCAAATAAATGCAACACAAAAGTTTGATTCCTGAAGAAGGCAGAGCAGAAGGCCTGGAAACATTTGGACACGCCTTAGTTGCGTGCCACCGCACGCGCCATCCCCCTCCCTCGAAGCTCTCGTAATAACAAAAGGCCCGAGGCTAGTGTTACGGGGGCAAGTGGCAGATCTCAATTCTATTCTGGAATTACTTTGAGGTAAGAGTTACAAATACTTCCCAGAAGTTGGTTTGTTCCATCAAGCTACTATGCGTTTTTAACGACACAATGTCTTGGTCCTCATAATTTTGGACCACCCTGTAAATATCTGCAAACTGTTTTGTGCTTAGCCCATAGCAAGCCGCACTTTTGGTGCTTTGTAGGCCTGACGAAGGTGATCAACTCATTGCAGATTACTTTGGAAAGTGTTTCGGAATCGACTCTCCCGAAGCGTTTTAAAATAAATTTTCAAAGCCTCAAACTGCCGTTCAACATTTAGATTCCCGTGGGGCTTCGGAACAGCTGACTAAGAAATCTGACTAGTAGTGAAGAGCAATCTTCTTAGCTACCCAAGTTTGAACTGCTTGTCAATTCATTCATTCGCGTTAGGTAGAAGCGCTGGAAATCAGCGTTACACAGACAAATTATTTATTTTGTCTCTCTGAAGAATGTTATTCAGAACATTCACGAAATGATTCCAAAAAGCCAAAGATTGGAGAAGAATGGAGATCTTCCCTGCTACAACACTCCTTGGAGTACGGGGGTAAAAAAGAAAAAAAAACATAGTTTTCAAGTTTCTTACTGTGGCCATAGGGATCATGTAGGACCGATAAACCCCAAGCTTTCAAATGGCTCTGCGAATTTGGGGTACGGAAACAGGCATGGCGCATCCCCTGGCACGAATTGTAGAATAAAGAAGCTTTCCGTTTGACTTATCAGCACAGGAGATGTTATTTTGGAGGCCTCTCGATGTTTTGCACTAAATATAGTGCAGAAAAACAATAATACGAAAGGAATGACTTCCGTGAAATATGTTGATTAAAGGTGGTTTGGTTTGGTTGAACGAAGGAAGGTTGCTTGATCTGGTTTGGTTCCGCTGATTTCGTAAGAATTCAAGGATATTTCTGGTCCTTGAAAATCATCACGCAAGGATAATAATCCAGCGGGTTGCGCGCCCCATCATTGGAATTGCCAATTCAGAACTACCAAGAGTTCAGCAAGTACCACTCATTACCGCTCAGATACTCCGCCCGAGTTTATATATTGCCTAGTCCGATTTTAAAAGATGAAATTCTACCGCTTTTATTTGAACTACCATGAAGGCATGGTGAATAATAAATGGGTAGATTGCTTATTGCAACCAATTGATGCTCTAGATTTATTTAAAACCAGTTTTGCTTCGCCCGCTATCGCGCGCATCACACGGCAGGCTTTAGCGAAATTGGAGGACCCATGGAATATCAGCATGAGATACTCCATTAACCATCTCACTATTGACTGTGTTAGACCCTCCACAGTTTCACTGAAGCTCATCGAAGAATGCGCGTGATTATTTGTCACAACTCTGTAAACATCCAGCATTTTTCTTGAATTAAGATAATTTAGCGGTGAATAGGATTGCTGTCAGTCTCAAAATCAAAACGAAATATTTACATAAGTGAGGAGCTAATGCTTATCATTCATTTACATTCATCATTATTTAGAACCACGAAAGGATTAGCGGTTTAATGAGTTTGGGCTTTCTTGATAGAAATGAAACTTATCATTTGCTGAAGACTTGATTGAATTTATGCAATCGACTGCTATTAAGTAAGCTGGATATATATCGAAATAATGTGCACGTACCTTTGTTTGTACTACTACGACTTACTACAATTTGTAAGTAGGAACGCTCTAGTGTCAATGCTGCGTAACGAAATTGACGACTTCAGCGTTCTGGCGCGCCTTATCGGCCCTTATCAATCGTTATCAGTTTCTGGCACCCACCAACAATGTCCCCGTCCCACCCCACATAACACTTGTAAGTATGGTTGCTCTGGTGTCAACGCGAGCCAGGCAACGGAATCGACGACTTCAGCGTTCTGGCGCGCCTTATCGGCCCTTATCAATCGTTATCAGTTTCTGGCACCCACCAACAATGTCCCCGTCCCACCCCACATAACACTTGTAAGTATGGTTGCTCTGGTGTCAACGCGAGCCAGGCAACGGAATCGACGACTTCAGCGTTCTGGCGCGCCTTATCGGCCCTTATCAATCGTTATCAGTTTCTGGCACCCACCAACAATGTCCCCGTCCCACCCCACATAACACTTGTAAGTATGGTTGCTCTGGTGTCAACGCGAGCCAGGCAACGGAATCGACGACTTTTGCGTTCTAGCGCATCTTATCAGCCATTATCAGTTGCTATCGCTTCCAATCATGTACCACCAATGTTCC